CACATGTTTTTTAAATTTCAGAGAATATAGAAAGGCTTTTTAGCCAGCAGTGAGAATGGTAAATGGGGAATACCTGGTGGTTCTGTCTGGTTTCTCTTGTCCTCTGGGATGTGATTAGAGAGATTGCTCAGGGGGTTGGAGATAAATGTTGCTTAGGATTCCAGCTCTGTCTCCAGCTGTGGGCTGAGCTGGGGCCCCGTGACCTGACCTCTACGAGCCTCAGTTACGTCATCTGTAAAATGGGGATAATGCCACCCACCTCTCAGGGCTGGTGTGACAGTGAAAAGAAGTGACACATTCACTCAGCAATATGTGTGAGCACCTACTGTGTGCCGGGGATTATGCTGCAGACACAGTTGCAAACACCAAGTCCCTGCCCTCAAGGAACTAAGAGTCTAGCAAGGGAGACCAGATAACAAATGAGTGAACGAATAGACAAGGTCGTTTCAGTAGAGCTAAGTGCCACCGAGAAAACAGAGCAGGACAATGGGACAGGAGCTGACAGGTGGGAGGGGAGGGTGACCGGCTTCAGAGCAGATGGGCAAGGAGGGGCGGAGGCTTGAAGGAAGAGGAGGGCGAGCTTCATAAAGAAATGATGGCAGGGCATTCTAAGAAGAGCGAGCGAAAACAAAGGTTCTGAGGCAGAAACGAGCTTGGGCTGTGTGGGGACAGAATGAAGCCAGCGCCGCGGCAGCCAAGTAAGCAAGGAGGAGGTCGAAAAAGCTGAAATCGGAGGTGATGGGTGAGGGCCAGGCTCTGAGAAGCCCTGAAAATAATTAAAATTAGTAATAAAATATTAATCATAATACTAATCGTGCTGCTATAAATAAGAGGCCTTTTTCCAAAACACCAAGCTCTTCCAACTTAAGGAACCCCATGCTGCCCCTCTCCTTCTGTCTTTCCACCGCTCTCCAATTTGTCATCGTGCTGGAGTGGAAACCACCAATTCCATTTCAGCCGCGGCTATAAAAAGAACGCTGGAGCCGGTGGTGCCGATGACCCAACGTGGGGGCTAAGATTAGCCCAGGAGGCTGTCACCTTTCCTTAATGTGAGAACCAGCTGGGGTTCCCCTTCCTTGGAAAAGTTCGGCTGTTCCACTCCACCCCGCCCCGCAGCGCCTTCGCCGGCCAAGCTGTCCATGGAGATGGGAACAGGGATGCGTTTTGGAAAAAAGAAGTTGAGCAACAGGGATTCCCCCTGCAGAAGGCAGCCCTGGGCTGGGAGGCGAGTTCTTGGGGTCAAAAGAGCAGAATCAGGTCCCTGCAGACACAAGGCGAGCCCCCTGTCTGTCACAGCCACCAGGAGCCAGACGTCCCACCAGGGAAGCCCACCACTCCTAGGGGGAGAGGCGGAGGGGGGTGTCTCAGACACTCCCGGGGTCTGCTGGCGCCAGTCCAGGAACCACATGCATCCAGGATTCTTTAGTTAGACTTTCACGAACTGCATCCTCTCAACCCCAGAGACCCACTGCAGAAGTCAGTGCTTGCTTCCACCACCAAATGGCCCAAGTCAGCGGCTCAGAGAAGCTAGAAGAAGGTCTTCAGCCAAATTAACCTGGTTCTAAGTTTTTTCAGAGCAGAACAGCTAACAGTTATGGTACAGACTCTGGAGCCAGGCTGGCTAAGGCCAAATCCAACACTGCCATTAACCAGCTGTGTGATCTTCACTAAGTTACTTAGCCTCTCTGTGCTCAGTCACTCATTAGTGAAATTGGGAGAGCAGTGGTTACCTTGTAGGACTGTCATGAGGAATCAGATCCGTTAATATATATAAAATGCTTAGGACAAGGCCTGGCACATAGTTTATTATTACTTATGATGGTTTTTCAATGTCTCTCAGTTCCATGAGCTAAAATATTACCTTTTGCCCTTCCATCAACTAAATGTAATGATAATAATAGAAGCTAACATTTAATGAGCATCTACAATGTGCCAAGCTCTATGATCTCATTTAATCCCTTCATCTCTCAAGAGAAGTAAATCATCTGTATTTTACAAAAGAGGAAATACTGGCTCAGAGAGGTGAAGCGACTTACCCGGGATGCCAAAGCTACTAAATTCAGATCATGGATTTGAACTAGGCCGTCTGACCTCAGAGTCTGTGCCTGTAACCACCACAGCCTGCAGCCCCCCACAACTGCCCACCCAAGGCCAACGGTGAGGGCAGTGTGTGTCGAATAAACCCTGTATGGCCTGAGCTATGATAACACCGGACAGACCATAATAGAACAGCAGACATTCAATGAGCACTCCCTATGCACTGAGCTCACGTTGTTCATTTCTGCAGTTAACTCCAGGAGGAAGGGACTGTCACTACCTCATTTTGCAGAGACAGACATTGAGGCCCAGGAAGGTAGAAAAACTGGACAATGTTGGGTATGATCCCAGGTGAATGCCCTGACTTCTCTGCCGTCTGCCTCCCACGGGTGCTGGGTTAGAGAGGACAACCTGGGGAGAGTGGCAGGCGAAGGGCCCGCCCACAGACGGACTCAATCACAGGGAGCTGTTACTATTACTCTTCTCATAACATGCAGCGGGCTCTGAGGCTTCCTCCCTTTAAGAGGTAAACTGTGAAATTTCCTCCAGGCCAAGGGAGCTCACTAACTCATGAGCTCCCGGACAACTGAAAGCTGGCTGGCCCCTAACTCCGCGGGGAACTTGCAGGGCCTGGCATCCGCATCATCCCTACCGGTTCCACGGCCCCTCCCCCACCCCCGCCCCCCAGGAACTACCAACCTGGACACTGATAACAAGACATCTGTGTGTTATTAGCATTTTCCCTCCGCCAGTAAGGCATTTTGAAGCCATACACTTCTGGTGAGAGTCAGCAGAAGGCCAACAGGATGGCGCCTGCTACAGGAGATGCATCAGAACCGAAGAGGCTAACCTCATAGCACTCTCCTGCTCAAGAACCCAGCATGGCTCCCTATTACTTTACCCAGCTGCAGATCAAAGCAAGCTTATGTCTGTACCTGGCGTTGGAAGACCTCTGTGTTCTGGCCTCTGCCCGCGGATCAAAGCAGTTCCCCATGTTAAACGGCCTCTACTTCGGCAAATTGGCTTGCCCTCTGACTCAGCAGAGCCTTACAAATTGTTGCTATCGAACACATTTTACATTTTCCCACCACCTGGAAAACAAGCGTCCCCGAGGACACTCAAAAAGTGCATGCCCTCTTGAATCCACTATCCCACATATAGGAAAGAGCATTAGCTAACATACCATGCACTTTCTATATCCCAAGCCTTTTATAAGCACACACATGACGAACTCCTAATTTCTGGACCACCCGATGAGGTAGGACTGTCACCATCCTCACTGTACAGATGAGGACATTGTTGCCCAGAGAGGATAAGTAACTTGCCCAAGGTCACACAGCTAGAAAGTAGTGGGGCTGGGTTTTGAACACAAGCAAACTGGCTAAAGAGCGAGTTCCTATCTAACTGGCAAAACGAATGCAGAAGATGCTCATCACTGAGCTACCTATAACAGCACAGAGTTGGAAGCAGCCTAATGCCCAGTGAAAGGGGAATAAATATGGCGTTGAACAAACACATACTAGAAAGCAATGCTTCCATTTCAATGTCTGCGTTCCTAACCCCTCACTACACCACCACTGACCGATCATGGGCCTTCTAATCTACTCCCACACCCACCGCCCTCAGGGCCCATCCTCAGGGCCCCAAGCGGAAGCTTTGTGGGAAGAGGGAAGAAGCTCACCTCCCTCAGACACTCTGCTTTTTCTGCCAGCAGGTGTCTTCATGATACACAGATCCATGATGCATCCAGGCTGAAGGGCAGCCCCCAGAGGAGGTGCCCTGGGCAGTGCACAAGCCCACAACAGAACAACCTGCCTGCTACATTCTCTGCATCATCCTAAAGGCAATAAACCAAGAAACAAGCACCAACATCTCTTTGAATTAACCTACAGAAATCATGTCCTAGAAGAAAAGAACTAGGTCTATCATCCACAACTATCCACAATAATTGCATAACCTGATACTACTCCTGCTTCCCATCATTTTCTCTTTGCCTCGCCTTCATGGGGAAAACACATTACCAGACCATGTACGCAAGAAAAACTACAACACAGCCAATAAACAGAAACATTAAACTTCTCAGAGCAAAGGATGCAAAATAAAAAGAAGTACCAATTCAGTGAATTGTTTTAATTTTTTAAAATGGCACTTCTGGGAAGCGGGGGAAACCAGTTCTGATGTGGTATTGGTGGAAGTTTCAATTTGTACATTTCTGGAAGGTAGCTTAGCAATCTGCATTTAAAATCCTCAAAATGACTCTCCAGCATTCCACTGCTAGGAATAAACCATAAATAAACAAGATGCACATGGAGATTTGTGTCAAAAAGATTAATTAATCTTCAAAGTATAAGAAGATTAATCGCAACACGATTTATAATTAAACATAAGTAGCCAATGTTTATTGGCTTACGATATACCTGGTGCTGTTATAATTACTCCACATGTACCAACTCATTTAACCCTGTGACAACCCTCTGTTATTATCATTTCATACATACGAAAATGGAGGCACAGAGAGGTTAGGTAATTTGCCTAAGATCACACAGCAAGCAAGTAGCAGAGCCAGATGTGAACCGAGGATGCCCAGGCCCAGAACAGGCACACTAATCACCATGCTGTCTGGCCTCCCTTCTTGATAATAGTAAGAAGTTGAAAAAATATACCTTTCTATGTGGAAAGAAAAAAAAAAATTTTTTTTAAAGAGTTGGGGTTGGCAGGGAACAACCTTCTCATTTAATGAAACAACCCAGGATCAGCTAAAACACATTACGGCACATTCACACAGTGGTGAACTGTGTCAACATCCAAATCACTAGAGACATGGGGGACTTATCCCGGCGAGGAAAAAGGGCAGAGTGTGCAAGTCTACACGATGATATCCACCCACAATCAATGCTGCTTAGAACCAGCAGGCGGTGGCTTTCGCATGGCCAGGGGACACGCACCAGCCGAAAGGGCCCTACCTGTGGTCTTCTCCGTGAACACGACCTTGGACTCGGCCGTGAAGTTCTGGCCCGTGAGGATCATCTGCTGGCCCCCGTACACCAGGCAGCTGTCGATGTCTTGTCTCTCCACCATGGGCAGCTCGTGGGCGGATCGCTGGGCTGCGGACAGAAGACAAGAAGTCGCCGTGAGGACACTCCAGCAAGGCTTTCTGATTTCACGGTGACGAGCTGGGACATGCTCTGCCCACCTTTTCACCTGTTGTCACGTCTAAATGTGGAGCCGTCATCACCCCTGTAAACCTGACTGCAAATGTCATGTTCTCGTAAAAGTGTCCAAGTCATTTGGATGCATTTTCTCCTAACAACACGTTTTGTTTTCCTGAATCAAGGGACGGGAAAGGCAAATGAGAATTTGATTACTGTATTTTTATGAAAGGACTAGTGGCCTGGTGCACAAAATTTATGCAAGGGGCTGGGCCCTCGCAGCCCTGGCCGGCCCTTGCAGCCCCAGCATCGTCCGGAAGGTCGTCCAGACAGTCCTCCTGCTGTTCAGTCTAATTAGCATATTAACTTTATTATGTAGGATGGGCAAACCAACAATTCCATGAGATTCATTTCGATAGAATGTACTTTCTCCTTTTGCACTTGACGTCAGCCCACACCTTCAGCACACACATGCGACACGTTAGGACCCGATTCCTGATATTTGCTTTGAAATTCATTAGCAATTCCAGATATGGTCTGAAAGGCTTCCCTGATCTGCCCACCATCTCCCTGACCTCACTCCCTACAATGGACTCCCCCTTGCTCGTGCTGCCCCAGTCTCACTTCTGGAATGTTCTGTGTCTCAGACCACTCAGCTCACTCCTGTCTTGGAGCGTTTGAACTTTCGAGTGCTTCTCTCTCTGGCAGGTTCTGCCCCATGACCTGCAGGGCTCCCTCCTCACTTCCTGCAGGCCTCCACTCAGTTGTCACCACCTCAGCGAGGCTTCCTCACCCGGCCCCGCCACCCTCCTCCCTTGCAGCTATAGCAGGTACCCTGTCCATCGCAGTCTGTCTGTCTCTCCCTCTCTTGCCTTTATCCTGCTCTTACCCTGCTTTGTTTTTCTCCAAAGAACTTTCCACTTACAGACACACTGCATGTGGCTTTATTGGTTCAGGTCTTCTTCTGCCTCCTCTAGACTGTAAGCCTTTGTGTATGATGTAAGCCCACGGCTGGGGACAGAGCTGGGATTTAGGAGGAGGTTCTTGGGAGGAAGGGAAGGAGAGAGGGAGGAACGGATAGATGGGTGGATAGCTGGCTGGCTGGAAGGACAGATGGACAGGCGGACAGATGGATAGGAATAAATGTGGATATATCTCAATACATCGCAGCACACATATCTCTGTCTCTCTCCATCTCTAAGCTTTCATGTATGCCTGCAATAACGAAAGAAGGAAGAATGGGCAGCCATGTGCTGAGCGCTTTACTGCAATGATATACTTGAATGCTCACAGCAGCCTTCTGAGGAAGGAAGTATTAAAATCATGCACACTTGACTGGGGAGAAAATTAAAGCTAAGAGAAGTCAGGTCACCACGTGGCCAAGCCTCTGTGGCAAAGCTCAGTGGGAACCCCCAGAGCTGCCGTGCCCAGCGCCGGCCCCTCCCTTGGCCACGCCAGCCAGGCTCTGACTGTCTGCAGGGAGGATGAAGACCCTCCCCAGCCCCCTTCCCAGGGTGGGTGAGAACCGGGTCCCAGCAGCACCAGGGGCCCGTCTGCTCAGGCCTCGCCTTGGCAGCGTGGGTCGAAGAGGCCGGTCCTCCCCTCGGTGAGTCACCCTGAGCTCCTGGCCTTCCTCCCGGAGCCCGAGAACTGGGCGGAGGGCCAGTCCTTTCCGTGCCAGGGGCCCGTGGACCTCCCCATCCGGGAGCCGGGGCAGCAGCCGTGTGAGGCCCGAGGCCCAAGCCGAACCCTCCCCTCCTGGCCGGCCTGAGCCTCCAGGTGGTGAGCACCCCCTCCCTCTGCCCAGAGCTACACTGGAACCGGCTCCTTCAGGAGCCACCATGCACTTGGCAACATCTAAGGAATCTGTCGTGGACCAGACAGACGCTCCCAGACACTTCCCTTTCAGAGTGCAACCCGACGACTCACAGTGATCCCCTGACGGTCTCCCCATCCCGCTCCGCCCAGGCTCCCTGCTCCCAGGGACCGGCGGCCAAGTGCTGCTCCAGGGGCTGCCAGTTCGGAGTATATATTCAAAAGGCCTGTCCACAGAAGCTAATGTCTCCCACATGGGCCGGGTTATTAATCCCTTCTTTCAATATACGCGTTTTGTATGACTTCCTAATTGAGCGGCTACAAATGGAGGTTTACTAGTATTAGCAGTGAAAACACCAGCAGCCACATCGCCCGGAAAAATGGTCCCAGCTTTTAAGTTCTGCCTTTGATGAGTCTGGGGTGGGGGCCGCCGCTGGGAGCTGTGGCCCCAGGGATGGGTGGGGAGGTGGTAAGAGCCATCTGCCCCGTTTTGCAGGTGGAAAGCCTGAGTCATTGCTACTGGCCAAGCTGGCCAGGGGCTCTCAGCCAGTCAGGCCGGGGCCTGGCCACGACCAGGAGGTCTGAGCGGGGCGGGAGGCTGGCCGGCCAGCTGCTCTGTGAACCACAGTGCATCGTTGTGAACAGGACGAGTCCGTTTCCTAAAGCAACCTCGCTGCTGCTCCCCTCAAAGCCTCACAGTTTCAAGCAACCAACTGATTCTCTCTTTGCCAGATTTGCCCTTCCCATCCCTTCTCCTTACCCGAAGGAAAGCTATCTTTTTTCAGGAAAATGTAGCCTTTACCGGTACTGCAGGCTGGCAACGCCAAGCGCACGGCCGGGAGCACCAGCACCGCGGGGTGCCTATTAGAAAAGCTGAACCTCGGCCCCACCCCAGGCCTATTAAGCCCAAATCTGCAGCTTAACAAGGCACACAGGTGGTGCTCGGGTCCCATCGAGTTTGAGAAGCACCGCTCGGCTCTGCTGCACATTAGGGTCAGCTGGGGAGCTTTAACAACGCTGACCCCCCGGGCCTGGTTCCAGAGCCAGTTCTCAGCCTGGGCACCGACACTGGCTGGATCATGCTGTGGGTGGGGGCCCACCTGTGCATCGTAGGATGTGGAGCAGCATCCCTGGCCTCCACCCACTAGGTGCCAGTAGCACCCCTTCCTGTGGACACCTGCCTCTGAGCAGGGCTGGATGTCCCTGGTTGAAAACCACTGATCTAGAGATTCTGACTTCAAGGGTCTGAGGGGAGGACCCCAGCATAATTTTTTAAAAAACAATCCTTCATGTTCCCGTGGGCCCCCCCAGTTGGATCTGAGGCGCCGTCCCCGCCGGGTCATGCAGGGCCCTAGCAGCCACGGGAGAATTCCTGGTTACTGCTGCTTGAGTCTGGGGTCAGAAAGGCCTGGTTTCCGGTCCTGCCTCTGCCAACTCCCTGCCCTGTGACCCTGGGCCAGTCACTTCACCTCCCTCAGCCACGGATGCCTTCTCTGTGAAATCCTAACAGGTTGCCAGAGGGGAGGTGAAGGGGGGGGGGGGGGACAAGGGATAAATGTAAAGGGGAATAAGAGGTGCAAACCTCCAGTTATAAAGTACGTCGCAGGGATGCAGTGTACAGCACAGAGGAAAGAGTCAGTATTGCGGTAACAACTTTGCTTGGTGACAGATGTTACTAGACTTATTGTGATCACAATGTAAGGAATATAAAGGTTGAATCATTATGCCGTACACCTGAAACTAATATTGTATGTCAACTATAATAAAAAAGAAAACATTATAATACTGAAGGCATAGTATTTTCAATATACTTAGAGAAAATATCCATTGTGGACCCAGACAAAATAATTTTGAGAATGAGGATAAAATAATGATACCATAGCCCAACAGGTGTGGCTCAGTGGTTGAGTGTTGACCTATGAACCAGAAGGTCATGGTTCAATTCCCGGTTAGGGTACATGCCTGGGTTGTGGGCTCAATTCCCAGGGGGATGGGGGGGGGAGGGGGAGCATGCAGGAGGCAGCCAATCAATGATTCTCTCTCTTCATTGATGTTTCCATCTCTTTCTCCCTCTCCCTTCCCCTCTGAAATCAATAAAAATATATTAAAAATAAAGATATAGAGAAAATGATAATAATAAATAAAATCCTGCCAGTGCCAGTCCTCTTGGGTCCTCCTACAAGCAGTATAAACATGGGGATGTGGTTAGTATGTAATTGGTAAATATTTAATACCAATAACCCAAACGTCCATCAATGGTTGAATGGATAAACAAAATGTGGTCTGTTGTACACAAATATTACTCAGCCATAAAAAGGAATGAAGTACTGATACAGGCTGCAACATGTAAATTGCAGGAGCCAGACACAAAAGGACAAATACTGTATGATCCCATCCTATATAATAAAGAGCTAATATGCTAATTAGACCAGACGCCAAACGACCTTCTGGAACCTTCCAGAACAACCAGTGGGTGGGGCCACGAGGCCGCTCTCAGGGCTGCGAGGGCCTAGGCAGCTGGGATTGCGAGGGCTGAGCCCCTTGCACGAATTTCGTGCATCGTGCCTCTAGTTTATATGAAATGTTCAGGACAGGCCAATCCATAGGGACAGAAAGCAGACTGGTGGGTGCCAGGTCTGGGGAGTGTCTGCTAATAGGTACGGGGTTTCTTTTTGGGGTTGTAAAAAAGTTCTGGAACCAGACCATGGTGGCAGCTGCACAATACTGTGAATGTACTTAATGCCACTGAACTCACATTTTAAAATGGTTAAAATGGTAAATTTTGTGTTATGTGTGTTTTACGACAATTAAAAATACATACAGGTAATGTAAGACCAAAAACACAGTTACCACTCAAGAACTCAGTCTTGACTCTCATTAACTTTCAAAATGCCTCTTTCTTGCTCATGTTCAAAACGTTTGCCCACTTGGGATCTTTTTAAACCCTTCATTGAGGAAACCGCGATTAGTACCATTTCACAGACAGAAAAGAGATGCTCAGAGCTCGGCCTCATCGAGGGGCAGCTCCCACCAGGGTGCAGGCTGTTGTGTTGGACACACCTCAGCCCCACTCAAGTCCCCCACGATGTGATCCTTGGATGGGTCCTTCCCAACTCTAACCCTCAGTGTTCCCATCTGAA